CATGGATTGGCCAGTTTGTTAGTGAAACATCACGACAGAGCTAAGGATTGCAGTGTCTTTATTTCAAGAAAACCTTGTACCTACTGTTCTAAACTCTCCTTGAAGGCGGGCGTGAGGAAAGTGTCTTATCCGCCGGTCGAACCCGAATATTACGAGGCAAGGAAGGAAGAGAAGCGGATTGAGTCTCTCTTTGATGCCGCCCAAATCGTTCAAAATGTTTTTTTCCCCCAGTTAAAGAAGGAATTAGTAACCGCGGTCGAAGAAGAGTTATCAGCTAAAGCAACATCTTTCAATTATGTTCGTGAGTTTGTTGAAAAGGTTTCTAATAGATTTTGGAATGACGAATACGCGAAGGGTGTCATCGAGGGCCCCTTCCATCAAGCAAAACACGATCTCGAAAACCTTTCGAAATGGTTTGCTCAAATTTATCTTCCTTTGAAACATTCCAAGTTTGCACTGGCTGCCAAGCACATAGCGATTCCTTCGGAGAGAGCAACAAGCGCGTTTGATCCAGAAAATGATTTACACCAACGACGAATTGCAAATCACTTGCTTGCTTTGGGAAGGATGACCGTCCAGTACACCGTGGAACCGAAAACAGGGGTCGGCTGTGTCATCATGAAGGACAATGATATAGTAGCAGTTGGCTGGAATGATTTTCCCCTTAAATCAATCGAGGAAAGTTTTCATTATGCAACCGATCAAGAAAGAGACGGAAAATATCCTTTCTTCATTCACGCAGAGCAAAACGCTCTTCTCGCGCGTAACGCAAAAGATGTCACGGGGACTGTCATTTTTGTCACGAAAATTCCATGTCACGAATGCACCCCTCTAGTGAAGGTTGCTGGGATAGGAACAGTAGTGTTGTCAACACCACTTAAACCAGTTCAGGAAAAGTACAGCCTGAATTACGACACTTTTCGAGAGGAGGTAGAGAGAGGAACCTTTATATGCTATGAAGCATCTACAGAAAACGTATCATAGAACCACTGACATATACGGGATACTTGCTAAGTAACTTACTTCAGGTCATGCGGAAGGATACAGCAGATGACAGTGACTTCAGATACAAATCTTTGAGTATGTTACTACTATGCGTAACGGTATCACCTGTTTTGATAATGTATAACACACGTTTTTAATCACATAACACTCTAGACATTTGATGTATTGTAACACTTCCTGCACACCATTAAAAAAAAAAACATTCCAGCAGTGAACAGTAAACACATTCCAACCCAATCTTTGGCAAATTTCATCTTTTAAAAAGCAAAGAATAAATATAATTGTATATATTTCATGGCCTTCTTAAAGACCCCAGATTCTGAAACTAAGTGAGGTAATTGCATTTGAGGCACATATGTTTGTTAGCTAATGCTCAGGTCTCCGGTCGGTCTCTCTGAGTTGGCCAGTAGGTCGCTAATATGTTTTTGATTCTCCTCAAGTTCTTCGAGCCTTTCCCTTACTGTAATTATATCACGATGCTGTCGATCCTAGAACAAATCAGAGAAGTAATGTCACTTTATATACATTACTATAAAGCTGCCAGTTCGAGTTTTATTTGAGTCCAGTTCGATTTCGAACCTCAATCGCAATAAAGATCATAACCACAAGCAAGCCAAAGAAGTGCACGGTAGATCAATCATATACGATAAATAAACTGTCTCGACAATCACACTTAAATACCACAAGCAAGCCAAAGTAGTGCACGGTAGATCATTCACATATGATAAATAAACTGTCTCGACAATCACACTTAAATAATCTTTTTCAAAAGAATTAAAAACAGTATCACTGAACAAAAGAAACACATCGCTGATGAAAATCAAGTGAATGGAATTCTTTTTAGGGAGGCGGTGTGGCCGAGTGGTTAGGGTGCTTGTAATCTGGTGGGCCCGGGTTCAAGTCCTCCACCCTACTATTTACTGGATTTGTTCTTGGTTGTCCTAAATTTAACTCGTCGGCTGCGCTGTGTAAATAGCCAACTGGTCTGCCTCACACCATTTGGGATTTTCAAGTACTTTATGTTTATTTCAGTCATTGTAAAGCGCTATTGGATAGCGATAAAAATAGCGTTATATAAATAACGTACTTCTTTATTTTATTTTTGCGGAAGGACGACTTCATTGTTACACTCGATAGACTATTACACTGATAAACTACATTTCGATGGAGTGTCATTTAACCAAAACCAAAGAAATTCCAAGATCAATTATAAGAAAGAAAAATACCGTTAAGAGCCACTGAGAACTCTAAGTTCAAGCAAACTGCCTCGAGCGCGAGAAAACGCCGACGACCAAGTCGTAGTTGGTTTTAGTTTTGCGTCTGATTGGTTAAGAGATTGGCGCAAGTTTTTAAGACTATTCTCTGAGCAGTATAAATTTGTTTCGAAACTCAATTGAAAATTGTTCTAATATGAGGCGAGAACTCAAGTTTACCTGGTCCAGAGTCGAATTAAATGGCACTGGTGAGCTTGAGTTGGGAATAAACGCTACTCCTACACCCTGACTACCGTCCAGAACGCTCTTGAAACGATGCTGTTTTTTCCTAAACTGTTTCGGTGAAAAACAAAAAAAAAAAGATTACAAATAAATAAACAATAGAAGTATTGTTTGTTTCAATTACTAGCACAAAATCTCAAAGTAAAAGCATATGTTCAGATTCCTTTCTGCATGAAATCCAATGCTTGCGTTCTTTTCTTCGGTAACACACCACTTTCTCACTACCTATCTCTCGGGAACTTGAAGAAATTCTGGGGGAGGGGGTGAGGAAAGGGGTACTTGCGATAGAGGTAAGCTTTACCAAAGTTAACCGCTTGGCTGATTATTTTTTCCCTATCTCCCATCACCATTCCAATTTTCGCGCATATCAACCTCGCAAGAAACTAATGACAACTGGGAAACGCCCGTGTTATGAAATAACTCACGCATGCACTGTTGAATACTGAGTAAGCTTGTTCCTTAAGCTCTCTCTTGAGTTTCTCTTTTCTTTGTTCTGTATCGCAGTTTTACCAAAGAACAAAACGATTAACGAAAAAGCCTATGCAGTAAAAAAGCTAAATATTAGCAAACCTTCTCAAACTGTCTCTTCATCTTCTCATTCTCAAGCTCCAAGTGTCTCCTGTAAAAAGTAATGATCATTACCATAATCTGCTCATGCAAGCAAATAATTATAAGCCCCACTTGCACTTCGTGATCCTTCCCGCGCTCTCGATTCAAGCTTTCTCGCTACAATACACCTACAAAAAGCAACACAGCTATGGAAAGACTACTGTGCACACTACACACTAAGCTTATGGGTTTAACTATAATTGTAAACATTAAAAGTTCATTTTAAAACTGACAAAAATTAGCCATTAATTCAACTGCTTACTTGACTGAGTCTTTCTCTAGTTTCAGTTGTTCCTCACGAGCTTCTAAGACTTGCATTCTATCCCTAAGATCACTGATTTCTTCTTTGTGTTTCTTAGATTTCTGTTAAAAGAGCAAACCTTGATAAGTGAAAAAACTCAGTTGTCAGATATGTCAAAAAGTGCTATACACCGCATGTCGCTTGTTAGCACCCCACAAAATATCTGAGGTCTCACAGTCAACAAAGTAAATGAGTCCCATCCATACTTTGCGGGGCCTTGCTTGGAGGGTACACTTGGAATCAGTACAGTATAAACCATGGGGCTTATGAAGTACGAGATTCCTTAGCTAGTGGTATATCACCTACAAAAATGGAGCGATAGCGGCGAAATAGGTAAAACAATTTAACGAAAATAACTAACCAACAAAAAACAGAACAATGCAAAACAAAAGTAGGAAAAAAAACGAAAACAAAAGCAAAGGAAAGTAAAATATAAGAAAGAAAGTAGTTTTCAACTTGCTTTTAAAAGTTGCCAAACTTGTTCAATTTCAAATGTCAGGTCTGAGCTTAAAACACAAAGGACCTTAATAATGAAATGACAAACTGAAGCCCTATGTTGGTCTTGCACTTGGGGACATCAAACAGAAGTTAACATTTTTTCCCCTCAGAAATTATTTCTAGATACAGTTTCGAGCAACATGATATTTCCTTTCAAAAACAGAACTCCTTTTCAAGATTTTTATCATTCCACAATCGATCGGGACATGCATTTGTTGCCCAAGTTAATTCCTCTAAGACGCGTGCCGCGAATTATTCTGCGTCCGCGAAGATTTTAGGACGGAGGAGGATCACAAGACACATAACGATCCATCTGATTATATATTAGCCACACCTTCTTGTACTCTTTTTCCAGTTTTCTTGACTTCTCCTCCTTTCCTTTTAATGTTTTCTCTAAGTCAGTGATTTGTTTTACCAATTCATTCTTTTCATCCTTCCACTGTTGTCTAAAAAACAGAAATCATAACTGCAACAGTGCGGTGGCTATAATTATAAGTACACAATTGCATCACGTTGGCAGGTAAAACCTTCCCTGGCGAAGCTAGATTTGATCGCGTTGAAAAAAATCAGAAATTACCTATTTTGTTCAAGATTGCCCCGACTTTCCTCCTGTTGCCTCTGTTGATCTGTTCTTGCAATACCTCAGACAGAGAAACGTAACTTCTTAATACCCAAGATTTACAGTTAGTTGCATAACTGTGCGTTGAATAGAAGGGTAGGTGCCGTGCAACACAAGAGTTTTGGAACATCAGAACTGAAAAACTACAGAGCGTTTTTTCGATTCGGCGCCATAAACCCAAAATCAGTTATCACAACGGAAGAAAAGACATACAATACACGGAGGCGACGAAAA